ACTGACTCTCTGTAAGCAAGTAATAACTGGACTCTTACGTTGTAACTCGGTTAATACAGACTGAGTACCCAGACAGCAAAGAAACGAAAAGGCAGACAAGTTGAGCCGCTATTGGGCAGCTTCCCTTAGCTGGTCCAGATCATTCTAGAGATCATTACAGGGCCTACCTTTAATATTACACCTTCAGAAAATGGGAAAAGTGGATTCGGCGGAATATGAAGCATACACGGAGGATGATGACACGCTGGAACATATCTTTACAAATGCCCAGCCCTCAGATGAATGAGACCGGTTGTATTCTATGGCTCCTAATGCTCAAACTTATGAAACATTGTGCATCAAGAGTGGACTGGCGCTCTCGCGTCTCTCTTTTCCATCAGCCTATATATTCCTCCTATTATTTAATTGTGTTAGATATTTATTTTTTCTGATTTTATATTATTATCTTTGTATATATTTTTAAATCAGGCGTTATAAGAATTTCCATACACTATGTATCTTTCTACCGAGCGAAGTCTTCTAATTAAGCACTAGCGCTACACACTTGTTTGTTTACGAATTGTTTAATTAATTCTTCCATTTAACCATATAACCAATTAAATAAYCATTGTATACTATAATATTGGCATTCCTTCTGAAGTATTTATATACATACACAAAAGTTTATTAGAGTAGCCGAAAAATATTTCAAAAGTGATTTGCAAAATTGATTGGATGAAATTATTTGTGTGCAGTAGTTTTGAAAATAATACATACATATGTATATACTTATGTRTATGTATACTTGCCTTCAGAAATCATCTTCTTTTTGCCAAGCCTCTGTTCTAGCTGTTCTAGCTCTAATCGCATCAGTTCTGCGTCAACAAATGCAGCAGCATACCTTCTGCTGAGTAATTTGGCGTCCGATTATTTCTCTTACATATTAATTTTACTAATGTGATTGAACAGAAACAGAAATTGCTTGACAAAAATGCACTCACTCAAATATTTATTTATTTTGCAGACTTGGCCTCAGCTGCACTTTCTGCTGTCATTTAGTTGTCTGCGCTTTGACTTGCCGCTGTCAAATTGCGCCTGGTGCCTGATTCAGTGCCTGATTCAATAAAATTTCTCACTCCTTTCCCTTTCCGAATGCTATTTATATGCCCATGCAGTGATGCACTGAGGGCCAAAAGCAGACATAATGCAAGATTTTTTTTACCGAAGCAGCTGCATATATTCATTAAAAACAAAAACAAAAAAAGTTTCGTAAAAATTTCAAATCCCACAAAGCCGCTGTCGCATAATCTAATACGCGTGGAAATATACTGTGTGCGCACTTTTCACCGTCACGCCTACAAATTAGTTGTCGTCTTTTTTATTTTCTGTTTTCTCTTCACAGTTTTTAAGTTTTCGCTAAAAATAAAATGATCCTCTTTTCATTGTGTAATTGTGTGTGTCTCCACTAGCGTAGACAGTGGTCTTAGCAGCGCGGGAGTGCCTCACATATGGCAGCGACTGTTTGTTGCATTGCTTCGCTCACTCCCCTACTTACTTACATAGGTGCACAAAAGTTGGTATATTTTTTCAAAAGCTCGTTTTATTTTTTTCCCGTTTTTTTGGTGTTTTGAAAATTATTTGTTCGAAATATTTCTCTACTTTTTTGCTTTATTTCAGTTGTTGGCTATACTAAATTTTTTATGCGTTTCTTTTGATATTTTTCCGTTGTTTTCCACTTTGGTTTCACTTTGTTTGTGTTAAATTGTGTGATTTATGATATTTTAGCAACAGTTTTTCATGTATAAAGTTATTTTTTGCCGAATTTGAGTTTGTTTTCTAGCGATTTCCTAGCAGAAAATATTTTAAGTACAAAAAGCTGAGTTAAAAATAAATAATTAAACTTTTTGCTGCATAGTTTCATTTGTTTTGAGATTTTATCACTTGTGAATAAAACATAAATTTATATTTTTTTATAAATTTGAACAGAATTATGTTAAAATGGCGCCTGAAAAATATAAGAAAAATATGTGTAATTTAGTTAGAGATTTATTTAAACATTTGTAAAAGCTATTATATCATAAATAGGGTATATTCAGTCTGTCAAGAGGTTTGTAACACTCAGATGAAACATCGGAGAACTTTTTAAATATACATATATTACATATGTTTAACATTGTAAGGTAAATCGATTGCATAGCTCTCTCTGCTCGCTCGTCTCAATAAACCCWAAACTAGTCTCTTAGTTTATGAGACATTCATCTGGCATGTCCTTTTCTACCAAAGAAGCAGCATATTTGTCGGAACCACCGATACTAGACCTCTCTAGAATATAGCTGACATTTAAATGGATCGACCAAAATCAGGTCCTTATATGTATGTAAATGATAGTCGAGAGCGGTTTAGATTAAACGTTCCAAATCAAGATGAAGAACTTTTTTAACCCTTTTATGCTATAAGAAATGCACCTGTRAGCAATATTTTAGCTTCGGTATAACCGAAATTATCGTTTGTGCTTGTTTTCATGTAATTAGATTTGGTTTAATTCGAAAAACAGAAATAAAGAACCTTTTCCGGCTAGTAAATAATGCCAGCTAGATAATTTTGCAATATTTTTATATGCCAAAAATTAATTTCTCAATTATCGTAAGAGATATCATTTAGCATTTTGAGGGGTTTATAATATATCTGAAAAATTTCGTGATCTTTACACTTCCAAAACATCAATCAATTTTAGCTGCCTTGTAGTGTTTATCCATCTACATGGACAGGGATCACATCACTTCTATCGCGCCCAGCAAGCTCCGGGAATTGTTCAGATGCTGGACCTGATATAGGAAAGGGCACAATAGTCCCTAGGTGGCAGTGCTAAACSTTAATTATTTTCTATCTATCTAGTATTTATGATCCTTATATTGGTTATACCTATTGAAAGCTCTGTTCCACATGTTTTCTGGGTCATACTAATAATTAAAAAGTACAAAATATTACTCTCTCGCGAGTGTCAAAGGTATTTGAAAATGTGTCAAACATTCATGTAACGTTATAAGCCTCAAACCAGCCGTCATTTACATTCGTTTTTGTGCTTTAAGGGATTACAAGGATTTCCTCGGGTAAAAACAGCAATTTTCAAAAAAATTTTCTTATGTAAAAAATAAATTTTGTATTCTGCTCTGAACCAAAAATTGTCGGTTTAACGTTGGCATTTACGAGCAGATGTGTCTGAAAAAAGTGTAACGTGTGAAGATCGTGAAAATGAAGATCATTTATAATCCGAAAATGGAACATATTCGATACAAACTTTCTTTTGCGATACATATGTATATATATGTATATATTTAGCGTTGTTTTGGCAACGAAARTGAAAACGTGTTATTTCGACTTAATACTTTTTAGACCAAAGTTGCCAATTTTAACTATACAAAAATGTTGTTAAAAATTAAACTTTTCGAAAATCGAAATAAATTATTTTACTTTTATTTTATTTTATTTTACTTATATAATATGTGAGTACATATCGATGTAAAAATTTTTGCACTGGAAACATTAGCCAAAAATAATCTCTTCATAGACTCCTATTTAATTACAATTGTTGAAATATTATGGATATATACATATGTATGTGTGCAAATGTACCGTTTCTGCATGGCGAATTCTCCTGCTGTGTTGTGTATGCAATCAAAAATTTTATGTTCGTACATATGTAYGTAATTAATTAATTGCTACTGAGTGGGTGTTATTTGGGTAATAGTATTTTTATTACATTCGTGTTAAACAAGCAACAAGTTGAGAATGCGAAAAAAGATAATGATGAACGCAGGATATAAAAACAAAAATTAAAATGAAATAAAATGCAAAATTATGACAATTTCACACTGACACGTTGGACAAAAAAAATTGAAGATAATAAATAATAAAAAAAAAAAAAAATTGACGTAAGCAAACATAGCACAAACATATATTATTTTTTGGCAAATTTTAGAAATTTAAATTACTGCAATGTTTTTTGTTTATTTTTTGCTGTTTTTTCTAAAAAAAATTATGAACTAAAAATAAATTTCACATTTATACAGCAATTTTAATTAAATTTATTAATTTTTTCAACATTAAGAAAAATTTATTCACACATTTGCATCGATCAGGTCATTTATCTCTTACATAGTCTTTAAATTATGTATATTTATAAATGTTTTTTATTATAAAGGTGGTAATTTGTAGAAATAAAAAATATATATAATTTTAATAAAATATCATCAAAGGACATTTAAAAATCATTGTGCAAAAATATATTTTCATTAAAAACCAAAATAAAAATTAGAAAAAAATCTAAAATTGTATTTGGAAAAAAAAAAATGTGGGCTTCCGTCACTTAAGCTCAGCTTTACCTAACCAACACTCCTTTTCTCGTTAAATAACTTTTTTTCTAATTAAAACTTAGCTGACAGATGGTGGTTGATTAGACATTGAGAAAACGGGCCTTAGACATCTTCTTTTTTACTTGTACAATAGCGAATGGAACAAAAAAACTGGTATAAAGCACATAGACTGGCATAAAAACTTAACTGACAGAGCGCTGCTGACCAGGCATTGAGAAAATGACCTTTAGACATTTTTTTTTACATTTTAATGCTTCTTTGATTAGYCAAGTTTTAGACAGTGGCGAATCGAACAAAGAAAATAGTATAAGACACATAAACTGGCATAAAAAATAGCGATAGCAAGCGACTACATAACTTGGAATAGGCMACTAATAATCTTGTTGTTGTGGAAGGTTGAGTTCAAACATTGCGACCGTAGTAGTGATTCATCAGGGATGATCTTAAAATATTAGACTAAAGTTTTCAAAAACTTAATTATGCAAATACTCGAAAAAAYAACAGTTTAGGTCAAGTAACTCCAATTTTACAGTTTGGTCGCCAGGTGTGAACGGTGGTTGCCCATAAGACAATATATTAAATAAAAAATATTTCATTTCGAAAACTTAAACTCAAACACCATTCTCCTCTTTCCTTTTTTATTAACAGGTGAGGGCGCCAAAATGATTTTGGAGAAACACTTCGAAGCCGATTGGGCCAAGAAACTGAAGATCATTTATGCGGGTGACGACACCACCGATGAGGATGCCATCAAAGTACTCCATGGCTTGGGCAAAACTTTCCGCGTCTCTGAGCTGCCAACACTGAAGACTTATGCCAATTATCAAATCAAAACCGTCGAAGAAGTTGGCTGGCTACTGAAAGCCATTCAATCGGTCTATGAGGTCAAGAAGAAATAAACATAGAAGTCAATATTTAAAATTCCAACAAACAAACAAAAAAAAATGAGTAAACAGAAGGCGATAATTGTGTAGCGTTTTTATTTAACAACAACAAAAATACATTTTTATACTTGTATGTAGCAAGGAAACAATCACTATATAAAACAAAATTATTATACTCTTACTGGACCACTAATTTTTGATTTAATTATAAATTATATAATTACGCATTAATTGTATTTACAAAGTGTTAAAAGAAATTCAATGTTTTTAAGGTCTAAAGGTGTGCGTTCATAAAAATTTTTGAAGAAAAATAWTATAAACTACAATGGTTGTTTTATTTTGCGCTTAAGAAAATAATTATGGAGGCTCCTAGAAGGCTTCTTTGGCATAAGTTCTCACGTAAACGGGGAATCGTAACCGGAACGGAACCGGACTTTTATTTAAATAACTTCTGTCGTTACAACAACAAAACAGGAAGACTTAATTCATTATTTGAGATAATAGGGTCAATTACGTTCCATTGTTATTGTTGTAGCGGCATATATGTATGTATTATCTACAAATAGTTGCGAAAAATACTTCGGATATGACCATAGCCTAGTTTTTGTTGCTGTTGTTGTAGCGGCAGAACCGTACCCTAGTCGAATAAACTCGCCTACCGTAGGTAGGCACGTAAATTTCCTTTCCCCTTCATGTACGTATGTATGTTGGATTGATCGTATCGAAAATTATCGGAGTTTAGTCTTAGTTGTAATTGTTTCATATCTTTTTAAAGTTATATAAAACTTATCACGGCGTTTTCTTTTGTTTTATAAACATAATAATRTAATAATAACCTAAAATAGGCTTCCTTCAAATATACAAGACAACTGTAAATAAACAGACCAACTGTTCCCAACAGCATATTGACATTATAAACCTTTTTTTTTTTATAAAATTCTAAAAAACATCATTTAACACTAAATAATTATGATATTAAAGTGACTAAAAAAAATACAAAGTTCATAAAAAAATTAAAAACTAATTTTTAATTATTCTAATAAAAAAGCACAGGGTGTCAAACAGGTTTGTGCATCAACTAGAAAGTGTTTTCAACTGTTCTCATTGCCAGCGCAACTTATCAGCTGTTTTTATCATTACTGCTGACGTTTATGTATTGTCTACAATTAATTTGTGTAAATAAAAATTKTTTGCGGAGCCGAAAAAGTTACGACAACGAAAATTATAGTTTATAAAAATATATTAATTCATTAGTAGAATAGTGAAAATCCACAGAATTGACGAAACACAGAAATGGACACTAAACTGGATGTAAGTTCACGAAATTGCTGCACCGAACAACAAAACAAACTTTTCTAACTCTTGCACTACACATGTTTCTATACAGATGTTCGATGATAACATTTCGGCTTCTTCCCAATTGGAAGGTGATATGTCCATACCGGGAGCACGTAAGAATACATCACAAATAGGCGCACCGGATTTCAACACACTAGATGAGCCAATTAAAGAGACATTCGTGCGTATTTCGGCCAAAAAGCTAACTGCATTTTTAATGACTCATATTTTTTTGTAATTGTTATCATTGCAGCTACGAGATGTGCGCGCAGTTGGCGTAAAATTCTATCATGTGCTCTATCCTAAGGAGAAGTCCAGTTTGCTGCGTGATTGTGAGTGCTAAAAGTCGTAGCGCAGAAACTTGTAAACAAAAGAAATCATTTACTTGAATATTTTAGGGGATTTATGGGGCCCACTAGTCCTCTGTACATTTATGGCTACCATACTGCAAGGTTCAGCAGATAGCATGTATGATGGCGGTCCAGAGTTCGCACAAGTTTTTGTTATCGTATGGATAGGTGCGGCTATAGTTACTCTCAATTCGAAGCTCCTTGGTGGCAATATGTAAGTACAAATAAAAGATATGTTTAATGTTATGCTTCTAAGTTTATTTGTTCCACAACTTTTTTTGTAGCTCGTTTTTCCAATCCGTCTGCGTATTGGGCTACTGCCTTACACCAGTGGCGATAGCGTTGATTGTGTGTCGTGTTATTTTGCTAGCTACCCAAACGAAATTAGCATTTTTTTTGCGACTAGTAACCACTACGATAGGATTTGTGTGGGCCACATATGGTAAGTCACAAATTYTATATTTTTTCTAATTTGAAATGTATTCGAGGACTTAAATATGTGTTTTTAGCTTCTTTTATATTTCTTGGCGAAAGTCAGCCACCAAACCGTAAACCACTTGCCGTATATCCAATATTTCTATTTTTCTTCATCGTATCCTGGTTAGTTATATCGCATACTTAAGTAAATAGTATGTGTATTTWGATTATTTAGTCTACGTTTATCAAACTTATAATGAATTCCATGAGAACATAAAACCAATTTAATTTAGTAATACTGTAAAATGATAATGTCTAAGCGCATAAGGAAATAAAAAAGATAAATAAATAAAAAAAAYGTACTTAAATACTATTGATTAATTTACTCCGAACACAAAACTTTTATTTATTTATTTTTCTTTTTAATTTTGATAAAAAAAATATGTAAAATGAATTTCTATATACAATGATATTTTAAGCTGATATGTGCACCGCAGGGATTTCTGCCATTAAAAACTATAGTTCGCCCACGACAGTATGGTCTTCGAAACTGGAACGGACCCAGATTTTTATCCGGCCAAGGACTGTCAACTCGGCATAATTGTGCCGCTACAACAACAACAACAACAACAACAACAAAAGTTCTTGGCCTCGTGAAAATGTGGGTCAGTTCCGGCTAAATAGACCCCACTGTTGCGAGAATCTACAACTGAGGGCTCTGTTGTTGTTGTTTTAACCGATACTTAATTCCCGTTAGGATGATAAGGATCTGTCTCTTATACACATCTAGATGTGTATATTTCGACGGGGTCGGATCAAAGAGGAAAGGGTGTTAGATGAGTGGGGTTGACAGGGCATGGCAAGACGAACATCTTATGTTTCTATTCTTGTAGCTACAGAGTAGACCGTTGGATGACCTCGATGATAACTTACCTAATGCTTACCATCCACAAGGTGATTAAGTACCCTTTACAAAAAGAACATTAGACAGTTTTGGCGGGATATAAATCCGAGTCTATTCCAATTATGAAGTCCTGTTCCCCTTTCTCAGGCTTCTGCTTCAAATTTATGATTTATAACSTTTTGTATTAAATCTCCATGACTGTATTAAATATCGTGAAATTATCTAAAAAGCCCTAGAAATCACCCCAACTCTTGCCAATTGTTCGGAGATGCTCTCTTCCAGCTAATTTCCAAAAATATTATCGTCCATACACACATTCATATATAGTTCTTTCGTTCTTTTTTTTTTATTTAAAATTGCATTCACATATAAATTCTTAACTTAAAAATACGTAAATATATACATACATATACATATAGATATGCCTTCTGTAATTTAATTATGCTTACTGTCCACTAAAACCTAAAAAAAAAACTCATTCTCTAAGAGAAAAAGAATTGCTTTGCACATCTGCTAAAGCCCACAGAGATTAAAATACACCAACTAATAGGCTTTCTGCAATACTTCCGCTTTCAAAAATCGGTAGACATCGACTTCTTATCTTGCCGGCTACACATGTTCCACATCGAGGTTATTACTCGTTCTCGAAGAAATCTCTAATGACATTTGMGTACGTACACCATCYTCGCGACGATTACGATAGGTCAATGAATTTGCACGCGCCTTACGACCCATAAAGTGACGTTCGACCCATTTGAGTAGCGTATATACCGAATCGGTTGAGGGCAAACGATGATCGGCTGCGGTACGCACGATATCCGATGAGGTGACACGGAATGTGCGCGCCATACCTTTGAGCGCCTGGCGAGTGGATAATCAAATGTTATCATTTAGGAGATAGCGGTTAAATGCTAAAGCCGTCCATTTTCTACTTACCACCATGGCATCTTCATCGGTCAGATCGTCACCTACGTATATAATCTTAATGCGTTCACTCCAATCGACACCGAACGATGTCCGTAATATGTAAATTGATGCGCGACCCTTGTTCCATTGTACGGGTGGCCGGGCTTCCAGAGCACAATGAGCTTCGGTTGCTTTGAATCCGTACTTAATTATAAGTCCACGCGCTTTCTCGATCATCGCCGGACGTAAYTCGGCTGGCGTTTCACGATAATGGAATGTGAGTAGTGCGCCTTTGTTTTCCACCCAAGCSCCGTCACGACAAACCTAAAAGGTATAAGTCCTTATTATTGTACGTTTTTGAAATCAAAATWAATTTTTTTTGTCGATATCCTGCTTTTAGGGGAATTGACTATGTGTACTAAAATTTTGTCTTCAATGCATTATGTTTTAACATCTCGATTGAAGCTGGGTTTTAATAATATAGTTATTCCGTTCCATAAAATTACGATTCTAAATCTAATACAAATCATGCCAATTTTCTTCGAACAAAACTCTCATTGGGTCTCATAACTCATAACCTATTTTAAATGATTTACTTGACCGATTACTCATCATTTCCATTATTTTAGTATATTTTTTTCCTTCGGTAAATAAGATTTCAAATACTTCCCCGACATCTCTTAAACCAATAATTGATAATCGCAACAATATTCAGACCTTTATATGGTTCTTCATTAATCTACTTTTTAACTTGTTTTGAATCTGTCCTTGGTTGCACAATAGACCTAAGACCGCGGTGTATTCCTCGGGTAATAATTAATTCGATCAATCAAAATATTTTTACTCTACCGATAGCTGATGTGAGTTCCGTTATTTCGAGTTAAAAATTCCGTCGACAGTCAAACCGRTTTATATAAAATTTCATGCGAGYTCTCATAACACTTACCGAGTCCTGAAGCGCCTTCAATAAATGACTAACTTTGTCCTCGTACTCAATCGGCATTGGATGCACGAACTTGCTGCCATCAGGATGCAGAATTTCCAAACCATGGTTACCGGCATAAGTAATGCCCTCAATACCAACCATGCGCTTCACATTGTCCACATTACGACCGGAGATGACGGCGACATAAACATCAGAATGATTTGAAAGCTTAAAGAGCACATTTTTAATTTCGGGCGAGAGTGTGGCGAGATCTGGATGCGGTGCTATCGGCGCCAACGTACCATCATAATCCAACAAAAGCGCCAATTTATGATTGTAACCGATGTATCTGGAAGCAAAAGACCATACAAACTAACACTTGTTCCACAAAAGAAGCAACAAAAGCCACTTACTTGAGTAGATAATCGTCAAAGTCGTCCACAGTCACGGGCTGCATTATAGTTGTGCCGACATCATCGACATCCAGTGTGCCCATCGCCTTCAGGAACGAACGCATCCAATTGCTAACATCACATTCTGACTCGCGTCTACGCAAACGGCTCATACGAAGTATACGTTCATCTTCGGGCATCGTGAGTGCACGATGTATGACCTCGGCCGCGGCATGCACTTCATAAGGATTGCAGAGCAATGCTTCGTGCATCATCTCACCAGCGCCGGCGAAGGGTGAGATTACCAACACACCGGGACTCGCATTAATCTGACAAGCAACAAACTCTTTTGCTACCAAGTTCATGCCATCACGCAGTGGTGTTACCAAACAGACGGCAGCATCGCGATACAAAGCGGCCAAATCGTCTTGCGCCACATAATCGTAGATATAACGTATAGGCGCCCAATTGGCTGTCGTGAAACGACCATTGATGCGTCCAATCAGTTGATCTACCTCCTCCTTCAGTTCTCTGTATTCCTTGACATCGGTACGTGATGGCACGGATATCTGTAGTAAACTGACTTTCTCCTTATGCTGTGGATACTTTTCCAATAAGGTTTCGAAGGCCATCAAACGATGGACCAAACCCTTGGTATAGTCCAACCTATCCACACCCAAAATGATCTTTTGCTTATCACTCTTCAGCAATTTACCAGCGGTCTTCGCTAAAGTCACGAACCGATCGTAGGGTATGCCAATGGGTAGCGGTCGTATGCGCACAGTGCGTTCACCCTGTTCGACGAGTAGATTATTGCGATCGACACGACAACCCAAATTGCGTTGACAACAGTCGACGAAGTTCAGACAATAGTCTTGAATGTGGAAACCCACCATATCACAGCCCAACATACCTTGGAGTATTTCATCGGCCCAAGGGAATAAACGGAAGATATCCCATGGTGGGAATGGTATGTGCAAGAAGAAGGCCAGTCGACATGGCAACTGTTTCTCCTCGGCCTTTTCACGTATCCAATTGGCGGCCAACATTAAATGATAATCGTGAATCCAAATAATTGGCGGTGTGTTGTTATCTAAAGCTTTGTTTTGCTCCAAACACTTCTCGAGTGCCTCAATTGTGCGTGCCGCGAAATGTTTATTCACCGTTACATAGTTATGCCAGTGTTCGGCGCCGAAGGTGGCACGACCGGGCATGGAATGGAAGAGCGGCCAGAATATCTTGTTGCAGCATCCATTGTAGTAGCTATCGAAAATCGCGGCATTTATATTGACGGAGACGACCTACAGCAAATGACGTGACAGAGTGAAGATAAGATAAGCGGGTGAATTTAGAGTTGGCGCGTATTAAAGTAATAAAATAAAGTAAAATACAATTTAATCTAATTTAATTATGATTTAAATAGGAAATAATAATAAAAATGTAATACTTGTATACATACATAAAATATATAATAATGTAGTGAAAAAAGTCATACTAAATGTCATTATAAAATGAATATTTTGTGCAAAAATTGCACTTTGATGACGTTCCTCTATCAACGAACATTAAAAGTGACGGCCTACGCCTTTGGACTTTGTACGATCGATAATTCCATTTTCTTTGATTATTGAGTATTAATTAATCGGTATATGTTTACAGAGATATGTATTGTATACATATTGAATTGATTGAATAGACTCGCTAAACAGGCTTATATTAGGTTCTCAAATATTTCCTTTCCGCCTTTTTGTCTTTTGAATTTTGCTTCTATGTATAAAGCGCTACAGAGCTCGTATCTGGCAATACTATACATCTTCGAAAGGTCTTCTCACTATTTTAAAGTTTATCTTCGTTAAAAGCAAATCTGCTAGAGAAATGGTGAGATTAATGGTGTTTTGGGGCATGATACTCCGTCACTTCGAATGGCGGAAGAATGGTTTCGGCGATTCAGGGCGGGTGAAAACGACACCATGGATAAGCCAGCCGGCGGAAGACCAGTGACAACGAATACCGATCAAATCATGTCAAGTTAGACCGGCATACGTCATCTCGTGACATCGCCCAGAAGATAGGAGTTAGTCACCAAACCATTTTAAGCCATCTGCAGAAGTCCGGATACACAAAAAATCTTGATGGTAGGGTGCCATATGATTTGACGCAAAAAAACCTTCT